AAAAAAAAAAAAAAAAAAAAAAAAAAAAAAAAAATGAAAAAAAAAATAAAATGAAAAAAGCAAAACAAACCGCTATTTTCTGAAAAAATATTGAATAGAACGACAATTATCTTTGCCTTTTGGTGCTTTTTATGTTGGCCTCAAAAAAGGCACCAGGAGAAAAATAGGAAGGGGACCGGGAGTTGGGTTTGGATATTGATGTGTGGATGCACTTCGAACCCATTCTCCACTATTTCTCGACCGATTTGCTCTCTGGAGACTTACAAAGACGTCCGGAGATGTTTCGGGCGTTAAACCTCCAACGATGAAGTCAGTGAAGGTACTATGAAAAGTTTTATGAGAAAAAGTTGTGTGGGAAATGCACCGAAAGCTTAGAATATAATGTGATTAACTTTTACCTTTCCAAATACCTATTTATAGAGAATTACTGGCCTCTTGAACAAGTTTCGCCCTATCTGGCTGCCCTGCCCGGGTGGCCGTATTACCCTAGGGATTGCCCGTCAGTTACTTAGCTTATTATATAATCCGGCAGATCATCTATCACCTTTGTTTATGACCCTACACGTGTCCTTTACTTGTAGCCTGGATTCGACCTAAAATGCTGATCCCTCTATCTGTATTCGGGCTATCCAACTATTATCGTGTCTGAGATGTCATATGTCTGAGCTATAAGAACGCCCCTGTCATATGTCCGAGCTATACAAATGCCTTCAGTCATATATTCGAGCTATTATATGTCCGAGTTGTCATATGTCTAAGCTATAAGAATGTCCCATGTCATATGTCTGAGCTATAAGAACACCTCATGTCATATGTTCGAGCTATAAGAACGCCCCCGGTCATATGTCCGAGCTATTATATGTCCAAGCTACAAGCACGTCCCCGGTCATATGTCTGAGATATACCATGTTCGACCTACTCATATGTCTAGTCCAAGTTGTAACATACTCGAGTTATAGGAATGTCGAGTCACTCCGAGCTGTAAACATATACATCTAGGCCTCCACGACATATAACGCCCTGTTCGACTTGTCTGAGACTCTTTAACTCGGGCTGACTTTAGCCGATTAACCCGAGCTATATTATGCACTATATCCCATCTCGGCTCCCGGCCAAGTCATGGTTTGTTTGCTCGTCCCGAACCAAGGTATGAAGAGTGAGACGCAATTCCTGGAAACCCGTCGAAAGATCCGCCAACTGAGCATCCATCTGCTGAAACCAATCGTCAAACTGTTTAAATCGGTCTTTGATGGTAGCGTCACGCCGGTCGGTTGCTGCATCTTGTAATCTCTGCGATATCGTGAATCTCGCTGACTTCTGATACTAACTAATGTAGGGGAAGCGTACGAGTGGAAATGATATAACGAGATTTCAATCTCAGAACATGATAAAATTCTTATTTCAATCATCAACTGAGAAAATTAAACTAGATGGAGTCCTTTACATAAAGCCCATAAACCCTAAACCTAACTTATTCACCAAGACTAAGTAAAATAACAAATAAATACTAAATGCTAGAAATAATAAGAATAGTAGATTTTACCAAATATTCTAGTAATAAAAAATATTTTGATACTCGTCTGCACTACACAACCATTGTACCCTCCTGAATGATGCCCGTTAATGCTTGGGCTTTAATCGCACGCCTTGGTTCAAAATTGACATTGTACTCCCCTAGCTCAATTGGTCACTTCACCCTCCAACTTGAAGTCGAATGTCTTTCAAGAG